TCGAAAATCAATGGAAAAAATGCATGCTACTTAAGTAGTCATTTTTTACCGAGCACGCCTTCTATAGGAGATTGAAAAGAAGTGCATTTAAAAACCGACATCCTGCCGAGTCCGAAATGTTATAAGAGTATGCCACAAGATAATCAATATTACAACCGCGACCAAGTAATCCTTCCTAATCGAAAACGCATTTCAGAATTTCAGCCAACATTTCATGAGCTAGGTCACTCACTGTATACTGTATATTTCAAACCCACTGCGAGAAGCTTCTGCATTAACAGTTAGAAACTCGTAACATACCTTTGATGGCTGCGTCAATATCAAGATAAATCCAAACATCAGCAGACGCTCGTAAGCCGGATTTGGCCATGTTTCCTTCGGGCACCCCGGCAGCAAAATGAATATGCGTCCGCGACATTCGGCTGAGCCCCGTTTGAGAAATGCTTGACCAGTTTTGGTAATAGGTTCCGTGGATTACTACAGGACATTCACCCACATCAATGGGTTGCAGGTCTAGGCCCTCAATCTGAAAAATGTGGAGGTGGATATCAAGTAAATCGTAGCGCATAATCTTAAACCTCTGTGAGATGTTTAGCGGGCACAAGGCCGACCGCATCATATTTATTCCTCTGCGCACTGATTACTCAATAAACAGAGGGCATGCACAATGATTTCCAAGGAACGAGGCAGACAAAAATTCTTTCGGCGTCGCTACGCGCCGCCGTCGGTCTAGCCGGGGGTTACTATGGCAGTTCGCGTCTCCTTGTCCTCCGCCTTTGCCATGCTCTCTTCCTGTCCGCCTCACACTCCTTGTCGATACGCTACTGGGATGAGCGAGGCTTGTCACTAGCCTTGCGAGAGCTCCAGGCCAATCAACGCTGTTCCCCCTCTGATTGGCTGGCAGACGCGGAGACAACGAAAGGCGCACACACGCGCTGGGTCTCAGCACCTCGAAGGTGGACACAGACAACAATTTGCCTGGAGAGCGCGCTCGCGGCGCCTGCCCACAGAGCCTTTGTGTACGCACTTCCAAAACAGTAAAGGTTGTCCAACTCACTCCGTCTCCCCTGACTTATGATTGGGAATCTTTGTCTTGTCGACTACACCCCTTTCGACAGCACCGCGTCTAACGCAAGGATGGGTCCAGCTCTCTGGATCTTCCGCCGCAAGGAGGAGGTGCAATTCGCGACACCATGGCGACCAAGCAGATGACGCATGACTACAGCTGTACTGAGTACAAGTACGTGGCAGGGTGGTCCTCGTGCTTATATAACGCAACAGCGACACGCAACCGAGAGAGGAAAGTCATGGACAACAAAGTGCTCAGTATTTCTGCAGAAGAACCTAAACTTAAACAGGGAGAATCTTAGCAAGCAAGCACACAGACAGCGGACATTTCAGACAGAATTGAAACTCACTTTGTGTTCAGGGGGGAAAAATTGCGGGAGCTGGTGATGAAGTAGAATATTACAATTACAAAAAAGAAAAAGAGGCAAAGAAACCGACACTAAGCACAAGAGATGACAAAATGGCATACAACTTACCTTGCAAGAGTGACCTTGAAGAGCTCGAATGCGCAGCCTCCCACTCGGATCGCTGTTGTCTATCTCAAAACGTCCCTTGGCATCCTCTCTGACCAAACTGAATACCTGCTCTTCCGTAACTTTGTCTTTAGCGAATTGGGGGTGCTTCAAAATGTCATCGAGGTACACGTAGCCGCCTTGGGGAGCAAAATGCAGAAGTATAAACGCGACCAGTTTGGAAGCTCAAATGAATAATTAGACGTGTTTCGAGTGGGTGACACCAAATACGAATGCAAATGGGCAGTTCTGGGGTTATGGTATGGCTGTTAAGACGTATGGTCTGAGAGCTTAGGTAGCCGTTTGCATTAGTTCACCTGAGTGAAAGCCTAGCTGTCTCAAAAACTCTTGTCTCATTTCCCATATAAGTAGTGTACATTCATTGACCGGGGATGAGAAGTGATGAGAGTCGGCCAGAAATTAGCGGAGCAGGAAGTGTCCATTCGCAACAAAGTTCCACATGATACGTCAGAACTACCTCTTGTTCAGCGCAGATAAAGGCTGGAAGCTTCAACAGTGTTGAAATTTTAGCACGCATTCAGCATACTGTCGTTGATATTGGACAGGGTCTCTCAAAAACCGGTTTTTTTAATAACAGCAGGTTGACTAGATAGCTGTGAATATATGAGTAACTGATTGCCATGGCGCCTCAGCATTGAAGAATCCTTTAGCGGTGCAGTTGTATTTCAATCTAGAGTCCTCGCGAGCAGTGGTACGGCGACCGATGACAAAGCAGAGTACAAACACAGACAGAGCAGACTGGAATGACTTATTGGTCGTAGCCAGGCAGTCATGCATCAATCCCGACTTTGGAAACTCGGGACTTGAACAAAGATCTTTGGTCATCAGGCATTGAAGTCCAACGTCCCACCCTTAAGGCAGGGGTCCGTCGCCCTGTCTGCTGCCCTCGGGAACACTAGTTAGTGAGGGAGGATTGTTTTACGGTGTATTTACAGATTGAGCTGCGGTTTGTTCAGGCCGGAATTCAGTAGGGCTGGTTAATTACGACGAATAAGCGAGAAGTGGCTATTCGAGGTTTCATATCTTTCTCGGTATCTCTTCTACGTTAAGCAGCACTGACTTTGTATGAAATTTGAGCGGCAAGCAGGCAGCTGTCTGTTCACCTCTGGTTCAGCATGTGAGGAGAAAGACAAGGGGAACTGTAGTGGTCACTTCCGGCTTATTAGCTATCACCAGCCAGCCGTGGTCAACCCGGGGGTTCGAAACCTCCGAGGGCTTGATCGGCGTTTTCTAACTTCAGTTGACTTTTTCGACCGGCATTGCACTTTCCCAAGATTGCCTATGTCCTTTCCGAATCGCGGTTTCCGGAACTGCAAACGTTCTTTCGTGATGTGTAGTACTCGGGTGGTGCATCTTACATTCTTTATGCGCCGTGGGGTGGATTTTAAAGTGTTGCCTTTCCAAGTACCAAAGCGCTTATGCGAGGGCGTTAGATCAAGCTGAGTGGCATTCAGGTAAGATAAATTCATGCTGTTATCCAAGTGATGAATGACGGCGCAGATGCAGAATAGCACATTTTTGCATGTAGAAATCAGGAACTCATCGCTCAAACTACGGCTGTAGTCGGTGTGGACAATTTCAAAGGACTAACTGGTCATCTGGGTGTCAATCCTTCTATTGCGCTCTTTTCGATATGTATGAAACACTCCTTCAAAGCCTAGAAGACGGCCACTGATAACGAAGGCGATCAGTTTATGCGAAAAATATCGACGTGCGACAGTGTTGAACGCCTGGAAAAAATCGATATATTAGAGGTGTGGGACAAAGTCGTCTTCAAGAGCTTCAGCTTGAACTTCTAAGGTGGATGAGAAAATTGGAGATGCAGGAAAGTCGTCACCAGAAACCAAGTTATTCTAGTCACAGAATCGAGTAAAAACAACCTTTATGACCACCCAACTGTAGAAACGGCGAAGATAAGCGCTATATTTATGTAGAAATGGCTATATGGATGTGGTTTATCAGAATTCCAACACCGTTAGCCACCATCTAGATAAGGACTCCAAATGTCCAGTCACGAAAATAACGAGGCAACCGTCTTCTCCAAAGCATTCGATTCGGATTAACAACAGGTTATTCTGAAAGTTTCCTCCTCGCATGAAGACTACTTTACTTTCGCATCACTAACCTACCTGTTGTCTTCATTCAGATACGTTCCAGATGTTACACCTACGTATGAACAAAACTAGTGCCCACTTAGGCCGCCAACATTCCACAAAACGCAGCAGACAGTGGAAATTCTGATCTTCAGTAAAGGACGTATCATTAAAAACAACAGTCGTTCTGGGCATACCGTACTGGTACTTCAGTCCCGCCTTCTCCGCCCCGTGTCTGAGGATCCAAGTCAGCCTTTTCGACAAGAGGATCCGCGCATCCTGAGCGAAAAGGAAAGATAAAGGAAGAACCAATTCACATTAAGTTCGGGTGGTTTAAGCCGGATCTTGCTACCACGAATGCTGAAGCGCAATTCAGAATCCGCATTAACGCTGTCAAGCACTTCTCGCACCGTAACATCATGCGTCTTAAAGTCGTCTAGGCAGATTATCTCCTCAATGAGAAAGTAATTGCCTGCCAGAGGCATCTGGAGTGCAGGGAATATGTCCTACCTTCGAGTTGTTGAATGTCGTCAGAAGATCCATGCGAGAAAAAGCCATCCAATTTTTGCAGTATAATATCCTGCCGCTGGAAGCGTTTCCATTTCTCTGCCACTTGCTGATTGGGAGGAGCACTGCAGCTGCTACCGACAGTCCCTGTCCACTCTACGTCACCCATGTGAGAGAGACAGAAAAACGTGCGTTTCTAGTGAGGACGAAGCACTGAAACAACAACCAATGCACCCATTGAAACAAGACTGACGACCTTTGGGCCTTCATACGAATGCACTTATATGGTGTACTTTTCAGCTATAGGGAAGTGCGGAGCAGGGGCTTGCAACTTGCACGAACGCGCACTATTGGTCCGGTGGCAGCTGGAGAAAACGCTAGTCACCCACCTAGCAACCTTCAAGGATCTAGAAAAGTGTGCAGTTATGAACACTACCACGACAAGCATAGGCGGGTTCGGAGTTAGCCCACTGTAACGTTATGCTGAAAACATCACTTTGGTGGCGGTGGCTGTGACGGTCGTGGTGGAATAGGACAAGTTCACCTTGTATGCGAGGTATGTGACGCCTGCATCGTACAGAAACTACCGTCTGCTGCATGTCGAGCTTAACTCGGGGGTGAAATCGAGATTATCGCAGCCTGAAGCCCTCATCGTTAGAGAAGACCTCATGGTCGGTGGTTGGTTTCGACAGGTTCCGTGCATTTTTTCGAATCTTATTCAGTGTGAATAAAGCAGATTGCATATCCCTGGTTGGGCTAACCCTGGAGGTCATTTCAGCGAACGAACGTGTCAGCACACGGAAAGCCGGAAAGTTCTGTAAGACTCAATTGACCTAGCATGGTTCGTATGAAGAGGGGACAAACTGTACTTTGTTTACCGTACAGCACGACTATCGCATTCGTCGAAATCACTGGATTTTTCTGGGTCGGACGAAGGGACGATGCCTGCTTATCCTTCAAACGAAGGAAGGTGAGTTTGAGTACTTTTGAAAGCAAAGTGCAAGCGCTTCCTACCTTTCTGTAAAACTAAGTGATTCCCCTCTGCAATGCTGAGACGGTTAACTCCGCATTCTTTAACGACGCATGAAGGTTTAGAGTATCGATAAAGATTACATGCTCTGTATCGTCTGCCTCCTTTTCTTCCCCAGCAGGAAACAGGTGGTTCATATAGACCCAACTGTGAAAAACTCGGAACCTCGGTGGGATTCGAACCCACGCAGTAAGGGGGAAGGCTTTAGTACAGCCAACGCTCTAACCACCTGAGGTGGTTGTAAAATGCACAAACGGCTTCCATTAAGATTTGTCGCGATGTCGCCAGAACAGAGGATGACTCGTCGGTTTGTGGACGATAAGGAGCAATAAGCGACCGAAATTCCATGAATACATGACAGTAAACACAAGACGTCCTTGTATTCGAAGGGCGGAAAGCTACTAAAACAATTACACTGATTACAACAACTGTCTGAAAAGCTACGCTACGCATCTTCGGTAGATGGAACCCGACAATGCAAATGTTGCAAAACGGACTTGTCGGGTATTCGATGGTGCATTGGCAGACTACACCACCACCAAGATATCCCGAAGGGTCTCCTCCTTCCTTGGGACAGTGAAACTTAGGCATCATTAGCCGACTGGCGATGAAGTTGTCGACACAAACCCGTTACCACAGGCACATACACAGGTACGCGATTCCAGTGAAAAACGCCAAATACGGCACATGAGATTAGGAACACTCCACACACGCGAGAAATGTTCCACAGAGCTGTGTCGCTGCACACCTTTCCCCACTGGAGTCCATGAAGGCGAACACTGCGGACAAAACGAAACTTAGACGGAATATACAAGCCCCGAACCACAACGCTGACTCTCTCTACCTCCCAATGAGTCTATAAAAGTAGGTTAATCTCAGTGTCGATGCGAATACAGATGTGGAAAAATTTTGATCCACACAGAGGCAATTTCCAATCTGTCAGGCCAGCCCAACAAATACCTCCTCCGTCCCCCGAAAGGAACTTTCGGTGGTTAACAGGATCACACTGTTCGCTCTTAAAGGTGTCGGAGCATTCGATAACCGGTGCAAAGAGCAAGTAACGGTCGGCTTACATTTGAAATCCGTAATAACTGTTCTGGCAGGATGACCTAGTTTTACGCCACCGGTAAATTACCCTAGATCTCCAATCATCGATTACTGGAAGCGTATACGATATAAGACAAATGGTGTTAGGTAACAGGCCAAATGACACAAGTAAAGAATCGGCACAATGAAGAACGCAAGTCATCTCATGGCCGGCATCCCACCGGCGAGCGCTTGTTTTTTGACCTTGGTTTGTCTCTACTGTTTATATCTTTATTACAAACCATTAAACCGCAATCACTGGATTTTCAATTGTAGTCTTACTTACAATATACGTACATTGTGAGTATCTACACCCCGTGACGAACAGTTCTGTTTTCC